CCTAGATACACGAACTTCTCAACTACTTCAATCTGCTCACCATCCAGGGTGAGTACATGATGAGAATCCTGCCAGTCTTGTAGGAGTACTTTGCACTTGGAGGGTGCAAAGCACATGCCGTACCTGCGGACACTGATTGCCAACTGATTAAGTGCGGATTGCATGCCTTGGGCATTATCGCACAGTAAGACAACATCATCCGCATACTCAAGGTCGAGAAGTCGTTCTCCAGGCAACATATCCACACCGCCATTACTTACATCAATCAGAGCTGTTTCCAGGATGTCATCGATGGCAAAGTTGAAGAGGAATGGTGAGATCGGGCAACCCTGCCTAACCCCACTGCTCGAATGGAACAAGGGAGAAAGGTGGTTGTATGCCATCACTCTGCCTGAGGTGTTCGTAAACAGGGCCTTTAAGATGTTAATGAACTTCTCAGACACACCCTTCTTCAATAGACAATCCCAGAGAACAGTCCTGTCCAACGAATCGAAGGCAGCCCTGATATCAAGAAACACTACGATTGTTGGCCTGCGATAAGTATGACGGTGTTCTAACATTTGGCGGAGGGTGAAGATGTGGTCAATGCATCCTAGACCAGAACGAAAACCAGCATGTTCCTCGCGAGTCAATCATTCTCGGGTTTTAAACAGCCTACGAAGAATGACAGAAGCCAATAGTTTGGGCGCAATCGAAAGTAGACTTATCCCCCGATAGTTATTGCAGGAACAACGTGAACCCTTTTTAAAGATAGGGACGACTATTGACTCATTCCATGATGTTGGAACACTTTCTTGCTCCCAAACCTTTGCAAACAACACAGTCAATTCCTTAGTCAGAAAGTCACCACCACCTTTAAAAAGAGACGGAGGTAATTTATCTGGGCCCGGTGATTTGTAACGTTTCAAGAGTTGGAGTTCCTTGCGGACTTCCGCCTCGTTTGGTGGATCAGTCGTCACCGGCCATGGGGGGCAGGACAAGCTGGTTGATGTTGCCGGAGCAGCAGGCCAGTTGAACTGCCCTTCGAAAAATTTCGCCCATCGTCCAAGACGTCGAGAGATGTTAGTGATTGGCATCCCGTCATCCTCGTAGATTGTTTCACTCACACCAGACTTCTTGCTGCCAATGGCTCGGATGAGTTGGAAGAGATTCCAGCAGTTACCAGATGCAGCTGCTGCTTCCATCTCATTAGCACGCTCCGACCACCAGGCTTCTCGGTCCTTACGCAAGCTTTGCCCAATTTCATTACGTAACAGCCTTCGTTTGTGGTCAAACTCACGGTCACCCGGAGTAGACCGACAGGCTTCGATCAGTTGTAAGGAGCCAGAAGAAACCCAGTGCTTGTAAGCGGGACGTTTCGCGAAGCCGCAAGCGGCTTTACTCGCCATTTTCATGGCGTCGTGAAGATGCAACCAATGCTCATCTATACTTTTCGGTGGGATGATAGCTAGCCTAGAGGCTAGCTCCGCTCGATACTTACTTGCAACAGAAGTTGCAGCCAGTTTACTAATATCAATCCGTTGATGGTGGTCAATCCTTCGGCGAGGTGAGATTGGCGCAGACCAGGGCATGATCAGACTCCAGATAGGTACTCCTAAAGGAGCGGCAGTCTTGTACACAACCACGCCAGCGGTAGCTGATCGCGATGTGAACAATCTGAGTCAAGGCTTGAGATGCAGACGGAGGACGTCAGGTGGCACATCGGCGATGACTGTGCCGGAAGTTAGTGCTAGCCAGAAACAGGTTGTGGTCTATGCACAGTTGCAGCAAACGGTCCCTGTTATCTGTCCTGCGACCAACAAGTCCCCATCGGTCACCTAAACGACTCTCTTCTGTGCCTAGACGCCCGACCTGAGCATTCAAGTTTCCGGCCAATACTACAATATCTGTCGAACGCGCTTTCTGGAGAACTGTTAACTGGTGGAAAAACTCATCCTTGATTGCATCCGGGCTGCAATCTGTCGGGGCATAGGCGGAGATGACGAAAAGACACCGTTTCTCACGCCGGTTTCTTCTCACTTTGATGGAACTTTCTAATCTAACAGCACATAACCGACTGTTAATGGGGATCCAATCGATTAGTGCTGCCTCAGCCCTAGCGCTTAGTGCAACACCAACGCCTGCAAGACCGGACGAAGATGCCACAGAGTCCCCGGATAAGCGCACGTGAAACAAGCTTTTCGAAGCGACAGATGGAGAGCGAATTTGTAGTACTTCACTAGAGTCTTGAATACGGGTCTCGGATAGACAGCAAACATCAACATTAAGACTTTCTAAAGACATAGCCAGCCCCATCTGTTGTCCGATCTGCATTAGTGTGCGAACGTTGAAGGAAGCCAGCTTGAACGGTGTACGCGGTTTCAGAAAGACTGCCTCAGTATTCATAATCGGTGGAAGCATTCACTTTCAACCCGACAGTAACTGGAGATCGTTTAGATAGGACAGAGTTTCCACCATGGGCGAGCTACAGCATAAGTTGGAAAGGAAGGATACACAATTTGAGAATAAAGGGAGTGAAAAAGCGACGTAGTAAATAATAGTAATGATAAAAATAATAATAATAATAACAATAATAATCATGGTAATAATAATAATAATGTAAATTGTCTTTCTTCTATTAGGAACGAGAGCAGTGTAGTTAGTGTAGTGCGTCATTTCATGTCATTTGTGTGTGGGCTGTGATACTGCCCGGGTGCCCAAACTGAAGCAGGTGGTTTTCTTAGGGAGCCACACCCCGAGCCTTTGACCTAAAGATCTGATCCACAAGGCAGTGGAGCATCGTGAGGAGATGCAGTCCCATGGTAGCCGGTGACCAACAACAGGTTCATTCGCCATTCGTTCCATCAGGATACTGGAGCCCATGTGCACCATTGGTTTGGAATCAGGGTTTTCCCACTCCCCTAGGTGGACACGGAGGGTCCACCAATCCGGTTAAAGCGCCAGACATTCGCTTTTCGTCCTCTCACTTTCGTAAACAACACCCCCGCCACGAGAAGGCAGTGAGTAGGACTTCCCTGGCAGAGGCTATATATTCGCGTGGCCATGTGAGAGCATTTCGAGAGGGAGAGTGGACTCTCCCCACTCTCGGCTGTACCAGGGCATTTGGGGGCTATATCTGAGGTTGTTGCTATGCTAGTCTGATTGTAAGTGATCTGAGTTACTACACAGAGAGTTCTTTTCTACGCTAGTGAAACATGGCTCCTCTGACCTCAGGATGTTAGGCAACTATACTCGATCGCTATCGATTTCGAAACCCCTAATTCTTGTACGTTTTCTGCGAGTTCTGAATAATATGCGAAGCATGACGGATGGAAGCAATTCGGGAGCAATCACATGCAAACTTATGCCTTGAAAATTGTTTTATAGATTACGCAGACTCTTTTAAAAATAGGGACGACGACCGCTACATCCCAAAGTGATGCGACACTTCCCACATCTGAAGTTCTTCCAAATAACCCAGTTCCCACACCAGAATTTGTCACCATCTTTAAAAGTAACCGAGGGTAGGCAATGTAGGCCCAGTTGTAAAATTGAGGTTGGAGCTCCTTACGAACCTCCGTCTTGTTAAGTTGGTCGGTAGCTACCGACCATCTCGAACGAACTAGACTAGTTTTAGACCTGAAAATGGAAGTACAGACTAAACATTCACCCTTTCTCATGTTCCGGAACACAGAAATACTGATCAGCGCCCACCTATAGTCATATTTATGGAACCTAAGGCAGTATATGACTCTGTTGCTCGACAAATGGCAAAGTCTGTCATTGAAAGTGCACCAAAAAAGTATGCCAACCGTGTACGGGATCTGAACTTGAACACTAATGCTCAACTCAGAACTCATAACAAACTATCAGACTTATCAACCTCAAGTGGTGCCCAATTGAGTTGTTAACTCTCCCTACTTCAAAGAACACATTTGACCAAAATAAAGCTTTAGTCATCCGATTTTAAAGGAATTAGTTTCCTTTTAGTAGATTTACTTGACGAGTTAAATATACAAATGACATAGTTCCACTTGGTGGGGACTCTGGCAATATGAAGTTCTCTGGATACCCTGAACAACAACGCAAGCATGACTAGGATGCGATTCTCTCCTTCTAAATACAAAACTTTGCTTTAGGACTGGTCTAGGTTAGAGCCTGGACTGAGTATGTATGTATGTCGAAATTTCGGCTCGGTCGGTATCTGATAGTTTGTATCACTTATAGCGTAGACGGGATGTCCGCCTACTAATCAAAGGATGAATATACTAATTAGCAACTCGACCTGCTTTACTTTATAGCTTAGAAATGTGGTCTTTAGAAGCATAGGCAATTTATGAGTTACTAGTGTTTGATCAGAAGTGTATCCGAAGCATTGTTTATGTTGAGACGATTGAGCAGAAAACGGGGTGAAAATTAATCGGTTGGTGAGGTAGTTAATCTTTGTGGATTACGGTGGTTGGAGTATATATTACGTATGCCACACCACTATCAACCTCATAATTCTTTGTTCTGAGAATTCATTCTTTTCCTCTCGAATTACATAGTCCATATCTGGGTTTTTTTCTACTGTTACTGATACTACTTTTACAAATTTCGGATTTGTATTGAAAATTTTACCTATGATATTGTGGTGAGGCAACTTGGAATGACACACGTAAACCAAGTCCTACGGTGTGTGACTGACTGGCCAAGAAGTAGATGGGAATCCGATCGACGTTGATGAAGCAACATGTCAGTTGAACTGTCCTTAGCTCAACGTTTAAAATACTTTGATTTGTTGTTGAATGCCCACACTTTAGGTGGTAAAGTAAAAACTGAAAAGAGTTCATACAGGAGCAAGTGATGGACTAAACGTTTGTCAAATATGAGGTAACGGAGCATTGTGAAGTTGGAAACATTTAACGCCTTTGAGTGTCTACTAGATACCGCAAACACACACACACACCGAAAATATTATGAAAAACGTAAGATCAAAAATCCGTTAGCAACAGGACTGTGTAGAATAAATAAATACATACCCTGTACCAAGTTCACTTTCGACAGAATACACGTCGCGAGGGTTCCCAGGAGTTATCACGGAATCTATAATAAGGTTTCAAAATATATAAACATGGTAACTTTGTTTTAAATAATCGCGAAAACAAATCAAATGAAAATTAAGAGACAGTAAAAAAGATTTTGAGGTGGTACTGACTTAATTCTGAATAGAACTCCTCATCTGTGAGTTTCCTGCGAACACGTTTGCGGAGCAAGGGGGCTGCTTGCTAAAAAATGATATGCATTGAAATTTAAAGCTACAAACTTTATTTGAATCACTGGCAGATGGCTTCGGTGGAGGTACAGGAGGAGTGAGAGCACCATTTTTCCTTTCAATTAGATGCACAGTAGGCTTGACTTTTGGATGAGTTGATGCGGCACTTGTACTGTCTTTTTCTTCTTTTGGGTTCAGAATAAACAATCGCATTTTCCTTTCCAACTCATCATCTATAGTTTTTGTGTACAATTGTTGGTGTTATGAAAAACAAACAAACCTTCATCAACACTTTCCAAGCCCTCAAAACCCAAGTACTTAGTTTTTTGAGACTCTTTGAAAGCGGTCACAGCGTTAAGAATTTTATCCGCATTGTTTTTTCGGTCTTCGACTGAGAAATTAGAATTGTCTATCATTTCTTTCCAGTAATCAGGTATCCCATGGAACTGCCCTGTCTCTTGGTCGTAAGTAACATGTACATGTTTAACAACGTTAGTGGGACTTGAAATCTCACTAATGATGTCATTACGTTTTGGTTTGAAGAATCTTGCCCTCGGCATCTTTAAGAGTTGAAACTGCACATCGACCTTATAGGTCAACGGATTGATAAACCATAACAAATGGAGCGAGCATTGACCGAAATGCGACCTTTTATATATTCAATATCCTTTGTGACGAGCTCATGTAAGCCTATTGTTTTCCCTGTCCTTGCTTCTTGTTGTCTCTGTAAGATTCCATATATATATTTGTAGGTGCAGTGAAATGTCACTGAGTCCTGGCTAAATCATCCGGTAGTTGGGTCAGTGAATATCGAACAGTTCATCGATCCCTGTCAAAGTCAAGGGCAACCGACGCGCATCAGTTAATCGTATGCCGTAGGCTGAGGGATGTGGTGGTGGTCTCGCTATCTTCTTTGCACTCATTCTTACTAATATATTCCCATTATAATGTCATTTGTGTTATATGTTCTTCAAAGCAGCCGTAGTACTTCGACACGTCGAAGGGGTAATCCACATTAGATGCTGACCACTATGTGTGACTTCGAAGCTATCTGGTTCTTCACAACGTTCCCGTCTAACTAGAATAGGCCTCCAATCATTCGACAGAGATCATCAACGTTGATGGTCAACATGTTAATGCCCAATTCATGGTCGTCTAGTCAATCGACTGCAATAAATCTAATCAGTTTGGTAAATATTTATAGATCCAGGAGGATTTCTGGATACCAGCCGTCATTACATTACCATGCAGAAGGTTGGTTGGAGGCAATGTAAAGAATTATGAAGAAATCAGAATACTAAGAGAAAACGAGACTTAGTGTGAGAATAAAAAGGGAAACGAAGATGAGGATAAGTGAAATATGAAGCAATTGTTGATATTCTGTGATAATAACTATTGTGAATTATAGGATATTCATCAGGTACAGGTAGTCCGAGAAGGAGACAGTAATCCATGAGTGCTTGGTGGTTGTTAATCCCCCAAAATAAATAGTTTAGCAAGTCTTCAACAACGATAATGACCCCATTATTTTGCACTGAGCACACCCTAGCTGGATGGGCTAGGTCACGAATCCGCACCACATCATGGTTAGGCACTTGTTCTGCGGATCCCTCTCAGCAACTGGCCATTTTAGATCAAACACTTATCGACAGATCTTGAACTCCTTCGTCCCTGACTCCTGGTTTGACTGTGTTGGAACCTTTCTATTGCAAAGGTATTACAGACAAAAGCGTTGTCCAACTCAGAATATATGTGACACCCCTATGTGAGTATGGGTTCGTCGAGTCTCGTTTTAAAGCCATCCAGGGGGTAGGGCTGTGGTCACTTCGGCAGGGATAGCATTCCAAATTAAGGTAACCCCAGGTGAGAAAAAACGGGAAGATACCTGGGTTTTCTCTCTTTGATGTGAAGTTTTTTGAGAGTCGCCTCAAAGAACTTGATGGTGATGTTCAATTACAATTATCATGTCAAAGTGACTTGCGATACTCATTGTTTTGTGTCCCATTATCTGATCATCCCTTATTCTCTAATTGCCCAACAAAGACAATCTCAGGTATAGAGACCCATATTTTTAAAATCATTCCCTTACTTGTCCTCTCATAAAGTGAGGAGTTACGTTTATTTTGACAGGGTTCCCGATGTTTTTTTAGCTGGTATTCAAGCTCCATATGATTACCAGTACGAGGTTGCGGTCTGACAAGACACTTATAAACAAATATTCATAGAAGACGAAGTTAATTTTTTTATTCCAAGTCTGAATATTCTTGACATTACATTTTGGCAGGTTGATTTTAACCTGTGTTCCAATGATTATTCCCCCACTGTTATGACGTCCTTCCAAAGTTTGAGTGAGACTTTATGTTTTTTTGGACCCCCACGTCTTCACGTCGTCCAGATAGACCAGTGCCGCTGAGTTTATTTCATCTAGAAGTTCATTAATAAAGACCGGGATGAAGAGTGAACTTAAGGTTTTGTAGAAATAGTCTTGTTCTGTATTAACACATATGTCGTTGCCAGTATAATAGTAGACCTTACACCACAATTGTAGATTTGTCACGTAACTACTTGATCTAAAAGGTCTCACGCAGAAGTCATATCATTGTCTTTACATACTCTTCCTATCGTGATAATCACTAACATGATGTTTAGCACTTCTGATGAGCACATTTGAGCTGGGGATATAATAATATATTTGAAGTGGATAGGGATATGATACGCAGAATGACCACACATCCAAGGCCAACCCATGCCATACAGACCAACTGATCCTGCGTTCACCGTCTCTTGATTTCTCTAAATTTGTGACGTGTTGACTGTAAATCTTCCCAGTAATTATACGCTCAGCTTCAAAGACCATGTTGTTGGGATCCACTACCACTACACTACTTTCCCACATGACCAAAGTGACGTTGGTTTGATACAGAATAGAGTGAAATTATCGTGCGCTAGAAGAATAATTTGGAACCTCCGAGTATTGATAAACTGAAAGATAAGTGAATGCGGCAGCAACAGATCGGGAAATGCATGTTATAGTTTCAAAAATGCTTCGTTTAATTTTTAACACACCCAAAGTGACAATCCATTTGAAGATTATTTAAGAGTTAAACAAGGGGGATCATCATAATGAAGAAGGATTTAGTATGGAGATATTTTGGCAAGTCACATTAAGATTCATAGGAGTCAACAGCTTGACTTATGAGCAGTAAAAATGTTTTATGCTCAAAAATAGAGAAACAATCAATATTTTAGCTATGTAGATATATGTATAATCTTTGGTTCAAGTTCGATAGTCAGTTAAAGTCGAAATGCCGTCTGCGTGTGTTTATTTCGGGTTTCATTTGCACTAGTACGCTAGCTGGAGGAACAAAAGTGTAACGGCGGAGAGGAAGAATTCCAACAGGAGTTTCAGTTAGCTTAGCAATTTTAAATCGGTTTAACTGCTCAGGCGAGATTTTCTCGACCTTGTCGCTGCTTCACCATGATAGCATATGGTAGTACTATAAATACGAATGAACCGTAATCGAAAATTCATTCAATACGTGAAAATACTGACAATTATGTGAATTTCGGACAAGTAGATGACGGTAGTTCGTTGAATGTGAGTGCATTCGTGAGAGACATGCTCTAAACTCAATGTCCTGATTTGCAGTAAACCAACTATTTATATTCATACTTACTGTCTGATGGTGCATACATGACAGTTGCAGGTATCAAGCTTGGGATGATATGGAGATCGATTTGTATGGACTTGAGTGACTATGAGATGTTGAGATCAACTAACCTTATATGTCACAAAAATAGGTGGCGTGGTGTTGTGCTGTGCTTTCGGCTAAATAAATATTTACAGGATGACAAACAGCGATTTCTGCCTATACGTTTATCAGGAAAAACACAATCATCAGCCAAGGGAAATATAACTCCCAACTCATGTCTATGATAATGGCATGAGCCTCTGTCAGTGGTGTGATAAATTCGACAGTGATACTATCAGTTTTCAGGAGGTCTTCTCGACTGCTTATGCTGATGATTTTCGTGCATGACTGTGTCGCTTGTGGAGGTAAATAATTCCCCAAAATCAATACCTCTGTTAGTCTTCGACATTGGATGCCGACCACACAATTTTTAATGGACTCACCTAGCTGAAGGCGCTCGGTCATGCATATCATCAGATCACGAGTGGGAACGCTGTGCTCAACATCCCTTGCAATCACTAGCCAGCCTAGACCAGTTGACTTTCGATATATTGATAGCCTATCAAAAATGTCTTCGAACCCTCTTGATTCTGACTTTTGGTTTCACTAGGTGGGTACGATTCATAGTAGAAAGTGTTACCGGTTAAATCGTTGTCAAACTCTGAATATCTGTAGCATCTTCATCGGTGAGCTCGACGTGATCTTGTACACCATTTTGCAAACTGTGAGCCTGTTCCCTTTTGGAATTTTACATATGATTGCTATATGTCGTAATTTTTTTATTCTTTTATATATATATTTTTTCCTTCGTCCATTCTTCTTCTTGATATATCAGCATGACTGGAAAAACATCCAAGGTGTCTAAGTTAAAGACTATTACTCTACCTTTATTTCAACCAATGCTCTTCTGAACAGACAAAATCGAAGCCGGGTTGTGCTATGCAGATGCCGACTTCTACGAACACGGTGTGAACGACACACTGGTAAAGGCACTACCGCACGAATTCAACAGGTACGTCACACCTATTATGTTTACTAGTGATGTTTCAGTACCTTACGAAACCCGTAAACGATCTACTCGCAAACGCGGAGACGTAACCGGCTGACAAAGACTCCCTAATAATATCGACCCGCAATACAATTCTGGGACAGACATGTTGCCAAGAGTGAGAGAGGTGACTGGCCAAAGAAATTTTGATAATGACCTATTCGGAAAACTTTTCTCATATAAACTTCCTCAACCAGTACAAGTTGTGTTGGTCTCGTTTCAAAACAACGCTATAGACGAGTCGGCTACATCTGCAGATCGCATTTTAAAGATCACAAAATCTAACGCTGATTTTTTCAGTCAAAGAAAAGCCTCAAGTTACACGGGATGACATTACGGAAATCTGGCTTACCTTGGCACGCCGCCTTCAATGTCGGTTTGACTGTAAGCAGTAACGAACACCGCGACGAAATATTTCACGTGGGCGATCTGTCTCTAGATCACGACATACAGATAATTACGACTGGTGCTGGTGTCATAATCAGTATGGAAAATTTTCTCGGAATAGCAGAAAACTCTGAAATTTTCCGAACTCATAATCGCTGGACACGAAAAACAATTCGGGAAACTTCGCAGACGGCACGTGTTAGGGGCGACCGTAGCCGGCGAACATAGCCATCTGTTATACGTCACAGGTGGGATAATGAAAGTTCGCTTCCTCGTCGATACTGGCGCAAAAGTTAGCGTTCTTCCTGCAAATTCTGTCGACCAGCTTCACGAACCAGTTTTAAACTTACAGGCAGCAAACGGAAAGCGTATCGCCACATATGGTGAAAGGTATGTCCCTCTTAACGTGGGTTTACGCAAACCCATTCACTGGATTTCCGAGGTTGCAGATGTTTCTATGCCAATCATTGGTAAAGAAATGCTACGACATGACCATCTACTCACAGCTACGAGCAAACAATAGCTAGTAGACAGATACACTAATTTATCTCTTTGCGTAACTTATTTTTCTGGTTGCAGATTATCTCCAGTCACAGTTAGGCATGCTAAAGATCCATTTAATCGACAATTGCCCGATAAACACTCTGGGATATACCACGCGCAAACGAAATTGCCATGTGTAACAAGCAAT